GAGAGAGAGAGAGAGAGAGAGAGAGAGAGAGAGAGAGGGAGAGGGAGAGAGAGAGAGAGAGAGAGAGAGAGGAGAGGAGAGAGAGAGAGAGAGAGGGAGAGGGAGAGGGAGAGGGAGAGAGAGAGAGAGAGAGAGAGAGAGAGAGAGAGAGAGAGAGAGAGAGAGAGAGAGAGAGAGAGAGAGAGAGAGGAGGAGGGGGGGGGGCTATAAGGAACCGTTATTCCCTAAGCATAAATTTGCGCCAATCCTATCTCCTTATGACGTCATATCCTTCTTTGAAAGACATTACTGATACTTTTACTTTTTTCATAATTCTTATCGTAAACCTTAGATAATCACAGGAGAAAAACAACAAATGTATACATCCATATCCCTGTCCAAAATAATCAACACCTTTTTTAAAAACTAAAAATATATAAGCAAAAAAATAAGCATTTAAAGTATCACACCCAACATTTTTGCGCTCGTAGTGCACAGCAACTGCCAGAGGAACGATAACTCCGGAAACCAACCTTAGCTACAAATGCAACACTTCTTTTTAATTCCTGTGGCTTCCGCGGTTGACAGAGATTGGTAATTATTGCACGAAAATGAACATAACATTGCCTTCCCTTCCCTGCTGCGCTGATGAAGCTCATTAACTTGAGCATAATGACTCGAGACGCCGAGGCGGGCAGTTTGGCGGGAAGGAAATGCTGGAGAAATCTCGAATTTAGGAAAGACGTGGGGTCTTTTTTTTTTTTTTAATCTTCCTTCCTCCTTTTTTAGTCTTTTCTTCTTCCGCGTTGCTTGTTTTCCATCTTTAGTCATTCATATTTATCTGGTTCTTCCTCTTCTTGAATTATAATCATTCTATAACTGCAAGTGATTGCCAGTAAGAAATTCCTCTGCATCTTGCAAGAAATTTTCTTTTTTCTGTTGTAATTATCTTTTTACTATCATTTCTACTGATATGAGTAGTATCATTACTGTCTCAGTTGTTACAAAAACTGATAGGCTATATTGCTATAAATGTAATATATCACTGTGATATATTACATCATCGTCTTCTCCATCATCAAAATTGGCTATTCCCAATTTTATCTTCTTTTATCGTCTGTATATTCTCGCATTCGTATCCTTCGCATTTCTCTGGCTCCTCCACTCCCTGCCCCCCCCCCCAAAAAAAAAAAAAAAGAAAATAAGAAATAAAAATAAAGTGAAAAATAACGCGAGAGAGCGAGGGAGAGAGGGAGGGGCGAAACAATGCAAAATCTGCCATATATCTTAGTCCTTCCATTGTACAGTCAGATAACAGTTCCTACGGCCTCCCCCCCCCCTCCCCCCTCTCCTACTCTCTCCCGGTCCTCCCCACGCCCATCCCCCTAGCTCGCCCCCCACTCCCACCCCTCCCCTCTTCCTTCAGTGTATGATGATGGTGAATCATGACAGACTTTCACCTTGCAAGCGGGAGGGACCAGGTCAAAGGTCATGAGGAGGTATTTTGCCCTTTTCTTTTCTTTTCCCCCTCTTTCTTTTTATCCTTTTCTTTTTTCCTTCATTGTTCTTCTGTTTTCCTTCTTTCATTGCTTTTTCCGTGTCTGTTTACCCATCTATCTGCGCTATATTTCCCCACGAGTCCCATTCCCTTCTATCAACCCTCTTTGGGCGACGTCTACGCATCCATCCCTTCCGAAATCAACCTTATCAACATCTGTACCGTTCCCTTCCACCCCCGCGCCGCTACCCCCCCCCCCTCCCCCCGGGCCGAGGCGGGGCCCAAGGCCGACCCGACGCCGCGATCTCTGCCTCGTCGGAATGGGAGGTCTTCGAGGCCGTCCTGGCTCGGAGAGGTCGCGGGTTCGCCTCCTCTTCGCTGTCTTCTCTCTCTCTCTCTATTTCCCTTCGTATTTTTTCCCTTACGTTTTCGTTCTATCTCACCCCCCCCCTCTCTCTCTCTCTCCCTCTCTTCCTTTTTCTGTCCGCACGCAAACAACCTCTACATCCCGTCCCTTTTTCTCTCCCTCCCTATCTCTTCCTCTTCCGCTCCTTATCTCCAAAAGGCGGCTTTCAGATCCGGCCGAGAACCTAGAATAATAATGACGCTGAACGAGACTTTCTTTCGGCGGCTTTTTCCGACGAGAAAGTCATCGTGAATTCCAATATTTACAGCAAATATTTTTTGTTTGTTCGTTGCTGTTTGACAACAACAACAGGCAATCAGTGACGAGTCTCGTTAGACACAGGCGCTCCTGGTGGATGTTTTCCCCTTGTTAAACGAAGTAATTCTGAGAGAGTCGTCCCGGCGTTCCTCGCGAGCCTTCGTCGCCTCGCATCGCGCGGCCATCACGTCCCCGAAGCCAGCGCTCCTTCGCGCCAACTCCGCCTCCTCCGCACTCGGCCAAACGCTTCTCCCACAACCGCTACATATCCTGCTCCTCACGCCTACACACAGGCATGAAACGGACAAAGAAATAACAGAACAGCCTCATGGCATGAACCAAACAGACAAGGCACTCAC